AATTCTATATTCAAGTCTAAAACTATACTAAATATAATTTATTTTTATGTTGACTTGCATGAAATATAAAAAGGAATACATGTCACGTCAAATGTTCGCCATTTGATTTAGTTTTCCAGCTAGTATAATTACGTAAATTGAGATTATAATTGTGTTGATGAGTGACATGTTCTTGTAAGACCTTGTTTTCACTCGATATTCGAAAAGCTAAAAAATATTCAAAAAATTTTTTCTTAAAAAGGCCAATCACTGACAAAAAAAATTCTTATTTTGCATTAATCAATCTGTATCTCATTTGTTCTTGTGAAGTTTAAATGAATGTAAACTTTAATGAATTTAAAAAAATTTCAAACACTTTGCTCGCTGATTTTCGTATTTTCCCCAGCACAAATGAAGAACAGATGGAAAGTGGTAAAATTATTTTATTGGCAAAATTGTGTTACTGGCAATGCATAAATTTATATACTAAAATAATTTAGGCACATTGCAGTGCTCGCTCCGATTGTTTTGAAGAAACCATGTATGATGAGAGTATAAAACACCCTCTTCCCATTTTTTTTTTACGCGATCATTATTATTTTTCGTTAATTTGTGCACTTTTTATTTAATTATAAAGAAAAACTAAACCGTTTTCCGTGTTTGATACTTTGATCAAAACCCTTGGTTTTCTAAGAGAGCATTCTATTAATTTCATATGCCTACGCCGAAAAGGAGTTTGTCATAGTAACCATATTTACCTTAAATCTCTTAGTAAAACTTTACTCCAAAACCAAATACTGATATTTCGATGGAGTCTCTTCAGTGCTTTCAGGTTAGCCTGCTACGCATTTCCTAGGCTACTCTCGTATTCCCTCGGCATCCAACGTGATTAGATCACACACTTACAAGACAACTACCAAAAGGGGCGCGCTGTCTGCCCCTCTCCTTAATTCATATCAACTAACATGGATGAGAAACTATCTGTTCGTTTAGCCAAAGAACAAGACTTTCAAGGTGTTCTAGAAGCATCTGAAGGTGTCTTTGATGGCAGTGATTATCTTCCTTTTGTGTTCCATCAATGGCTGAAGACGCCTGGCAAGTACACGTTTGTAGGTGRGCTTCATGGAAAGATTATTGCCTTCCAAGCAGCTAATGTTATTGATGGTGGACAGACTATTTTTTCCCRRAGTCTTCGAATACACCAAGACTATCGTGGTAGGGGATATAGTTATCAGATGAATTCACAAGTACTAAACCAAGTACGTCTTGTTCACCCAGGAGCATCAAAAGAACGTTTCATGGCATTTGAAAGCAATGAAAAGATGAAGCGTTATTCCCAGCGACTTGGTCACGAAGTCCTTATGAAAAAGCAGATTAACACTTTTCAAATACCTAAASAAATGGTGGTTGAATTTAGAGGCGTTTATAATGWCAGAAAAGAGCTACACGAGCTAAAAGTAGAGGATGCTGCTGAGTTCGTCCTGAAACAAAGAAAATACGATCATATAATACCCTGCAAAGTAATGGTAGTTTTGAAAGAGCCTTATGAATTGATGCTAGCCAATGCTGACTTGCTTTTCAAGCAAGGTGACAAGATGTTTACAGATGTAAGTACAGATCTACTGAGACAAGGTTTAACACCGAGATCTCTCAGTCATGGAAGATTGGTTAACCGTGTCAAGCAACAAAGCTGGGTCTGCAACATCTATGCAAGTGAAAGAGATGTATTCAAAGCTCATATGATAYGACATGTGATGGCTGCCATTGAACAACTAGAGAAAACTGGGAGAAAAACTAGTTTAGMCGTTCAAAGCTTCCCAGATTTAGATTTCGAAAGAGAAGTCTTTAGAGAAGTTTTAGGCTTGCAAGCAGAGGWCACTGATTGTGGAGTGTGTTATGAAAGTGAAATTAACTGAAGCCCTTGGGAGCCTTGTTATTGCGATTCCCAGTCACACGCGACCAACTAGACCTTCATTACTAACGAAAAATTTAATTTGGGTGGACGTCAATCAAAAGGGTTTCTATCGTTTCTATTGGTTTCTACACCAGGACTAATGTGAATACCCACGTGAACACGTGCAAATGTGCAAAAATCGTTGTCCTTATCTCATGCTTCTTGTCACTGTGAATTTCTCACTCTGGATATATTTTCTCAAAAATGTCACAGGATTCCGGCTCCGAATCTTAACGCTTGATTGCAAAGCTATCGCTATGGATATGATTTGAGTTTCTTCAAGATAGGATAAGTCAATACTGATAGTTTGCAGTTAAAAGTTTGAAATTCGAAGTCGGAATCCTTAGACATGTTTAAGAAACCCTTTTGATTGACGTCCACCAAAACTCAATTTTTCGTTTGTGATTTTGGTTTCATCTTGGTCGCGTGTGACTGGGAATCGCAGTAAATACAGTAAGCCGGGACTGTAAGTTAGAGGAAGAATGGCGAGATTCTCACGAGCGAGACACTCAGGGCCTTAAAATAACTGAGGAGACTGAGGTGTGCTGTCTTCGTAATTACAGCTGCAAATGGTTAGACTTTCAAGTCTTCTCGAATAAGGGCTTTAAACCGTAGGCCCTTACAACCCTTCCTAACCTGCAGTAAATGGGAGACATAAAAGAACCTGTTGAATTATTTGTGTAAGAGTAGAATTAATTAAGAGTAAGATTGTCTCCCGGTTTAACAGCCTATCCCAATTTGGAAGCATAACACTAACGTACTAATTATTCACTCATGATCGTAAGCTGCACGGCTGCTAATAGCACCTTAATATGCAGCCCGTAAAGTCCTCTACTGGTCATAAATGTAAAGCGCATTGAGGTAATTGTGAAATGCGCTATATAAGAACCTCCCATTATTATTATTATATTGAAAACTCAACACATACAAATTTGGAACTAGTTCCCACCGTACACCTTAATTAAGAGTATCCTATTCCAGATGAGTAGGGTTCTCGTTCCTAGACGTTACTCATCTGGGAACGAGAATGAAAATCTGGGTCGAGTTGGTATTGCAATGCATTGTGGGATTGTTCAACAAAATCGCAGAAGCACAGGTAGCCCAATCTCGATCTGTTTCTATCATAGTAAATATATGGGGATATTGGGACAATTTATCAAGATATCCTCCACAGGCATCAAACATACTTCTATATTGTATATATAGATATTTGTTTTGCTTTTGCGAAGACTGAATTTTAGAATTTTTACTCACATTTGCCTAATGCTACTATGAATAGGCTTTGGGCTTCCTGTGGATCGATTATTTGGTACAAGAATCCCTGAAATCTTTTATAAAAATCGAAAATGAATTATCGAGTGTTCCGATTTCTCAGCCATGTACGACAGCCGTTCTCTCGCTCAATCCAAACCACTCCTACACGTTCTCAAGATTATAAAATAGTCCAAGTAGGCGAAGCTGAAGATTTTATCCATCGCTGCATGACCAAGGTTGGAACATCTAGTGAGCACGCCGTTCAACTTGCTAAAGTCTTGATTTCAGGGGATGTTAGAGGACACTTTAGCCATGGACTTAATAGATTAGGTATAAAGACATTAATATACAATGAATTCATGAACACAAATAGAAAAAAAAWTTGTGAAAACTAATCTTGTAATGACGGCATCATGGTTCTTGTACAGCAGTTGTTTTGATTCGTCTATTAACCAACCTACATTAGTTTGATAATGTACAAACAACTTTCGACTGTTCTTTAAGAACTTTATGTCCGAGTCGTCATTTCTCGAGTGTTTTCGAAATGTAGTCGTGGTTTTTATAGGTTTTTTAAACACAGATGATTTGAAGTCGAAGGTTTCAAGGGTATCAAGTTGCTGTTGCAAGTTCGGGAAAATACAATTTAGGGGCATTTGCAAAAGCATTTCAAAATATCTTTCAAAGAGAAGACTGAGATAAGAATAACTTAAGTATTTCCAAGGGTTGGGGGGAATTGGGGAGGTTGCATTGTGTAGTTCTAGAAAATATCCATAGCTCCCCCATGGAGTGGGATTGGAATTTCCAAGGGGTGGGGAGGGTCTGAGAAGGGTATATTGTGTAGTTCCAGAAAATATCCATACCTCCCCCATGGAGGGGATTGGAATTTCCAAGGGGTGGGGAGGGTCTGAGGAGGGTATATTGTGTAGTTCCATAAAAACCATAAAAACATGCCTTCTTTATTAACATATGTATTTTTCCCTGTAACAGAGATGTACGTTCATGACATTGAGGTTGGTACGACGATCAGTCAGGGTGAACCAAAGGTCGTGAAGGAAAGCCCGGCAACTGCTTTGGTTGATGGGAACAACTTGCTTGGACCGGTATGCATATGTACTATCATGCACACAAAGTATAACCAACCCTTGTTACCACCCCTTGGAAATTCCAATCCCCCTCCATGGGGAGGTATGCATATTTTCTTGTACTACACAATATACCCTCCGCAGACAATCCCCACCCCTTGGAAATTCCAATCCCCCTCCATGGGGGAGGTATGGATATTTTCTGGAACTACACAATATACCCTCCTCAGACCCTCCCCACCCCTTGAAAATGCATTCCAATCCCCCTCCATGGGTGAGGTATGCATATTTTCTGGAACTACACAATATACCCGCCTCAGACCCTCCCTACCCCTCTGTGGCCTCTGAACTTGTCTTCTTCATATACAGATTTCATTCTTTCAGGTTGTTGGTAACGTTTGCATGGATATTGCCATCAAAAAAGCCAAAGAAGTAGGCATTGCATGGGTAGCATGTAAAGGTAACATGTTAACAAGTTTTTATCATTATTTCTGTGCTTTTATTGACATATATAATTGGTCTAAGTTTTTTCGTATCTTATATCAACCAGGTTCAAATCACTATGGTATTGCAGGATGGTATACTTTGCGAGCCTTAGAACATGGATTAATTGTAAGAGTTACAATATTTAATTTACATTGATTGTTATAATTACCCGATCCACACAAGAAATATTTAGCTTTTCCAAGGTAAAGTAAAAAAGAGGGTCCAGTTGGAATTCCAGTGCATTGTGGGACTGTTTGAGGGACACATTTCTAAGATGGTGTTCTATTTTGTTCCCTAAAACTGTCCCACAAATTCTCTGAAATATTATCTCGATCCATTTTTTTTTTACTCAGCCTAGGAATAGCTCTTAATAACTTATTAATAAGACATCAAGGTTGATTAAAGCCAGAAGACAAAAAAATTTGGAACTCTGAGTTGGTAGCATAATACTCCAGTTTTGAGTTCTTTTTGCTCAGTCTTAGTCTCGTTTGTGTGTTATAATATTCAGATATTCACCAAAATCTGTGGCATTTTAATCAACATTCCTTACTATACAATGGACCTTAATAAATGAAAAGAACACGTTTGTACACAATCGAGGCTAAGACTGAGTAACGGCGAATTTGAAATGGGAGTATTATGACTTCAGCTGATTATGTGAAAAAAATCGTAAAGACCTTGATTCTTGTCGTTTAGATGTTTACCCTTAATTCCTTATCTTTTTGGAATGATCTTTTACCTATCGCATTTGGTTAAAACATCTTTGAAAAATACAAATAAAATAAAGATAAATATCTGCATGGTTATTTTAATGTTTTGTAATTTTGATATTGCTTTCAGGGGATTAGTGTCACTAACACGTCGCCATTGGTTGTGCCGACCAGAGGGAGAGAGGTACATTAGATAAGATTATCTTATTTCTGTATTGTTAAGCTCGCAGACTATAAGACCCCTTGTATAAATAAAATGAAATTTAGCAGCATTTTGGCATTAATTTCTACCATTGGTTGTGCCGACCAGAGGGAGAGAGGTACATTAGATAAGATTATGTTATTTCTGTAYTGTTAAGCTCGCAGACTATAAGACCCCTTGTATAAATGAAATGAGATTTAGCAGCATTTTGTCATTGCTTTCTACCACTGGTTGTGCCCAACCAAAGGGAGGTACATTAGATAAGATTATCTTATTTYTGTACTGTTAAGCTAGCAGACTATATACCCTTGTATAAATAAAATGAGATTTAGCAGCATTTTGGCATTGATTTCTGCAGAGGAAGGAATACCAACTAGGAGAAAAAACTCTTGAAGCACTTTTAACATGCAGGAGAAGAAAATTGTTTTTTTAACCCCCAGATAGGGAATTAGTTTAAGGGCTCTATAAGTACAACAACATACAGTACCAAATTAAACTACCATTTATGAAGACCATTTCTCTAG